TGATTTGCCAAGGTCAAATAGCCACATGTGTCACAGTCAGGATTCACACTCAAGTCAATTTAACTCCAAACTGCATGCTTTTATTTTTACCGCAATCCTACCTCCAAATATATAATTTTCCTGTCTGGCACAACCAAGGCAAAAATACTATTTAATGATCTTAAGCAATGCATTGAAAGGGAAAAAAATTGCTGAATAATATACTCCTCTAGCAAAGCTGACTGAGAACATATCCAAGTACTACATAATCTATACTTAAATCTTAGAACAGACCACAAATGACCTGGAAAACCCTTTTTCTCCAGACATTTTTTATAGCTTTGATGCATAAAGAAGGGAAACCAAATGTTTAAGATGCAAGAATAATGTGCCTTTCCATCCCAGCCAAAGCAGAGCTTATATGCTTCACCAGAAGTTCTATCATAATCATATTATCAAGCAAACACCAAAGCACAAATAATAAGGAATAAGAAAAATACAAAGATTATTTTGGTTTTGGAAAACAACTAAGCACCAGGAAACTCCTTTTAGAAATGTGGAAAAGTCCTTTTAATAGTAGCTAATATTTCTTCTTCAGGCTTTGATATAAAATTTGGTTCATAACCTTTATATGACCATATTTTTACTCTTTACAAAAATTAAGTTTTCTAGTAAGGTATTTACAACACTAACCTTTACCTTCTGCTACTTAAAATAGTTACAATACGTACATCAATTTTTATCCTCTTAGAACTCTCTGCATGATGGTTTTAAGTCATTTGAATGAAAAATTGTTAAGAAAAACAGAAATACCTAATTGGTAGTCAGTGTTCTTTATGCCAGTAAAAAGAAGATTCCATATCATAATAATCAAAAGTATATTTTTGAGAAGCTCCTAAGCAAACATTTTTCAAAAGATTGAGCACAGATCTGGGGTCTTCACTTTCCATAATGGCTCTGCCAGAAAACCATGTTAGTTCCTACCTTTGCCATTTATAAAAACTGTCAGGACCTAATCAACCATTTATCTCTATCTCCAAAAACGAGAACGGTGTCCTCTTTTTTTCTGTCCTCCAAACCCAGGTTCCACAAGACCATGACTATTAGGCTAGCTCATGATACCAAAAACTCAGCTGTAGTTCCTGGCTTAAGAGAAGGACCAAATTTTATCCAAGTCTCCTATATATCTTTAATAAATGCTCCTGGTATCACAATAGTTTAAAGATGAAAAGTATATTAATTTGTTCCTACTGCAGCTATTGTTTTCATGTTATTCCAGCCTGGAGTCCATTATGTGCATATCAAAGACAGGGTCCTTATGTAGCTGCTTTTGAAGACTTTCTAGGGTGACAAACTGTGATGCAGGAAACAAACCGTCTGTCTAACACCCCCTGATGCAACTAATCAGCCTCAGAGTCTAACATCTGAATACCTTTGGCATCTAGGCTGGTTATGCTGCTGTTGGGAGTGGGCATGCCCATTTTATAGCTTGGCATCCTTTTCTGATCTATTCTTAAATCTTTTGAATGAAAATTTTGTCTTCATAAGTTGCTTCTTCTATTTCTGTAAATCTTTCCTTTGCAATCGGGCTGAGAGGGATAGGAGTTAATGAAAATACTGTTCCCTTTCCACCAAAGAGCTCTCTTCTCTTCTTACCACTTCTATACTTTTTAAATGTTTGTGGTGGAAATTAAATAAGCATTAAAAAAACTGCAAATATATTGTTTTTTTGCTTGCTACCTTTTAAGACTACTTGGCCCATGTTGGTTCTAGGTCCTAATTTCTTCTCTAATCTAAGCAAAAAGAGTCCTAAGAGCCTTATATGTTTCAATCTGATTCACCAGTATAGGACTCCACATAGGAGGAATATCAAAGCTTCAAGATAATAAATTATTCCTTTTTGGTTGTGGATATATCTCCTTTTGTCACGACCACAAGACATTATGAATCTTAGAACTGATAGTGTTTGCCTCTTTACTTGGGTTACTAGGAAGCTCAGGGAAAAATTTGTGACCCATCTTCTGTAAGTAGAAGAACTTTGTGGTACATATTTAAGGTACTGCTTAAATTATATATTTATACATATAATTTTATATATTTTAAAAATTGTATCTATTTATATTATTTTCATTTTCCTCTGATCTTCTAATTTAGTATATTTTTTGGTTGTGATTTTAATGTAGTGCTATAGGCTAACAACTCTAATAACAATTATTATTATATGTAAAATCATGAGAACCATCCAGTAATCCATAGTACCAACTACTCAACCACAGAAATAAGAGAATCAATACTACTATATTGCATGGGCTATATCATGTAGCAAAAAAACTATATATAGTAATATAGTAAAAATATAGTAATATAGTAAAAAAACTTTAAATAAAATCTATCGAACACAGTTGAATAAGCCTAATATTCTGGATTTTCTATTTTCTTTTTCTTTTTTATTTGTTGAGACAGGGTCTCACTCTGTCACCCAGGGTGGAGGGTAGTGGCAGTATCTCACCTTACTGTAGCCTCAACCTCTCAGGCTCAGGTGATCCTCCTACCTCAGCCTCCCAAGTAGCTGGGACTACAGGCATGCACCATCATGCCCAGCTAATTTCTGTAATTTTGTAGAGTTGGGCTCTTGCCATGTTGCCCAGGCTGGTCTCAAACTCCTGAGCTCAAGCAGTCCACCTGAATCTGCCTCCTAAAGTGCTGGGATTATAGGTGTCAGCCATGGCACCCAGCCAATTTTCTATTTTCTATTGCAACTTATGCTCTGAGCATACATTAGAAAACACACAGCAAGTCTCAAAGACTCATGGCAATAAATAAAGAACTCTGGTTCTCCAGCTGTTTTACTATCTGACATTATCTTATTGATTTGGGCACTGATTAGAAAATTCTTTCCAGATCATTTGAACTTATTCTATGTATTACTTTTAATTAACTTTCAAGAAAAGTTTTGAAATCGCAAATGACCAAGCCAAAAATGCTTGACTAGTCTAGTCGTTGGCTGTCAAATTGATTTTAACTAATTGGAAAGTTTTCTTTCAAATCTTAAGACCATTCAATGTGATATGCATAGTATTAAATTATGTAAAATATTTACTAAGGCAGGAAGCTGATTTGATAAAAGTATATTCTTTTAAATCCTTTAAATTGGTGTGGCTCACACATTACAGACACCTGGGCATCTTCGGAAAAAAAGAACATTTAAACTATTATACATTTAGAAAAAGCACAAAAGTTAAAGAACACAGACATAATACCATACTGTTTCAATAGTAACTCCTTTTCTTTGTTAACTGAAAAATATTAAACTCTTGCTTACATTGCTCAAGCTTTTTTTTTTTTTTTTTTTTTTNTTTTTTGAGACTGGATCTCGCTCTGTCATCCAAGCTGGGGTGCAGTGGTGCGATCTCGGCTTACTGCAACCTCCATCTCCTGGGTTCAAGCGATCCTCTCACCACAGCCTCCCAAGTAGCTGGGACTACAGGCACACACCACCACGCAGAGCTAATTTTTGTATTTTTTGTAGAAAGGGAGTTTCACCATGTTGCCCAGGCTGGTCTTGAACTTCTGACATCAAGTGATCCGCTCACCTTGGCCTCCCAAAGTGCTGGGATTACAGGAGTGAGCCACCATTTCTGGCCACTTTACTCAATCAACTCCAATCACCTCACCTTTTATGATTTATTATTAAATTCCATGACCTATAATATAGTTTATATAATAGATGCTCTTAGAATAGATTTTTAAAATACAGATGTTTCTGCTCTAATATGACACATGCATTCAAGAAAAATCTCTTTCTGCAAAATTGCACACTAAAAATAGCAGGCATATGGGAAAAATTGGGTTAGAGGCAGATGTAGGAACCAATGAAGGAGAAGGAGAAGTAAGCATGTTGTAGCTCTTAGAAGCCTACTGAAAGTGAAGTAAGCTGAAGACTCAGAATTGACTATTAGATTTAACAGCATGGAAATCATCTGAGACTTAAGAGCATTTCCATTGAATGATCTCAAGGCAAAAACCTGATAGGAGCAATTTTAGAAAAAAAAAAATGTGAAGAGAAGAAATGGATTCAGTAAGTATAGACAAGTCTTTTGAGAAATTTTGTTTAAATCAGAAACAAAGCAATGGGAAAATAACTAGCATGGTTTTTTGGTTGGTTGGTTTGTTTGCAGATAGGAGCATGTTTGTATGTTTATGAAAAAATCCAGAAGAGAAGATGTTAGGACAATCATCTGCATATTTATAAAATCACCAAGAATTAAGACAGAAGTAGAGTTGGAGAGCATGAAAGTGTGGAATAGTGGGTTAACAATCTAATGACATGAATTAAAAGCTGTGGTTTTTAGATAGAGGGAGGAAGAGTGATCTGGAGGAATAATGAGATGTAAACATTGTCAATGCACTTTCAGGCTGTCATTCAAGAGCTAAGGAAGAAAACGAAAGCCTTCCAGTTTGAAAACTACACGAGAAGCAATATCTTCAGAGGAAGAGCCAGTTTCTATTAAAATAAGAAGGTGAAAGGAAGGAAAATTCAGAGAAGTAAGAATTAGGGATATTGAATTCCTGAAGGTACAGAAGTTTCAGTAGTTGGGCAGGGATAGAAAACAGGACAGACAAGGAAATATACAGCATCCTATCTATTGGATGAGGGATGATGTAGGAGTCTGGGGCTTCTTGCAGTGGCAAACACAGAATAAAGGACATAATAAGATTAATTCTGTGGAGTCAAGAAAGATAGTGGTGTTGAAGTTGTCAGTGCGTGGGGCAGGGCAGTTCAAGGTGTGTGTGCCTCTCTTGATACCTGTTGGGGAAGAATATACTTGTTCCCAAGCTGGAGCTCCCCCTCGACCCTTATTAATGGAGCTGAGGCCAGCTCCATGCATTATTAACAATTTAAAAAATTCATGTGACCTTCACACACATGGATTTCTTATCAAAGTTTAAAATTTAAAAAATTTCCCTACTCTAGGGAAAGAGTAAGCTAATTTTTCATAGCAGAGTTTGGTTTTACTTACATCTGTGTTACAGGAGCGATACCGTTTCCTTTCCCCAAGGCAGTATTTTCCACCTCCTGAAGGTCTGAAATAACATTTTGTTTAACATGTGAATACAATCCATCTATCCATACAAAGAGTATATATATTACTTGATGAAAACATATTAAAGTTTATTTTAAAAAATATAAAATTTGACACATTATTTATTAAAGTAATCATGCTGGTGATTGTTAGCAATAATTATGGTTGTTGAACATAAAAATTAAGGCTATTTATTATTAATTTGTAATAATAGTACTGTCACTTTTGTATTAATGTACTAGTAATTTATAAGATTCTTAATTGTCAAGCTATACATTCTCAAGAAAATCAATTAAATCAATATATTTTATAATTATCATAGTAAAAATCACTTATTTATAATGAAAAGCCATTTAAATCATATTTAACAAAATCCATAATCTGATGCTATATGTTCAACTAGGAAATGGAAAGTTTGTTTTTACTCCAGACAGGAAGAAAGGAAGCATGAACTAACTCCCTGGAAATAGCTTTCATTCAAAGCAAATAATGCAAAAACAAATTTCATCTCATTTTAAAATAGTCCGTGAAGTTTAAAAATTTAAATCTAAAAATCAGATGGCTTTGCATTATAGAAATACTAAACATTTTGTATTTCATCAAAATTAACAAAATAGTAAGACATCAAATATTTGATTTACATAAATTAATCTTTAAAGGATTTAACGTGAGAGAAAACCATATGCTATTATTTGGGCATACTACCACTGAATGATAAAAACAATTAATTTCTTCTTTTAAAAGGGGTCCAGTTTATTCCCTTAAGTATCTGGGTATATTATTTATCACAGGGTTTTGTTATACTTTTATTAATTTATAACCACTTTCAGTTGAACTTAGGTTATTCTGTACTAGTTTTAAAAAAGATCAAGTCTACATTATAATTTTGGCTCACTGGTATCGATGGGATCAATAAAGCTACATTTTGAATATATTTTGAATGCCAGTGAATGCTGACTCTAAGTAAGGAAGAGAAATGGCTCAGCTTGAACCAGAGAAATGAGTTGGTCAGACAAAAACAAGATAGTGGGGATGGTGGTAGCATGACTGGTTTATGAATGGGAAATAGGAAGCTCTGCTTAGCAAGAGGGGACTAATTGATAGGAGTGGGAGAATGGAAACAGAGAACTAATATAAAGCAAAACAATTAAGCCAAAAAGAGTAAAATAGAAGAAAAAGACATTTGGAGTCAGGAACCAGAGAGGGATCCTGAGTTAAAAATAAGAAACACTAAAAAATAAAAATAGATCATCTTTTATTTCAGAAAGAGAAAGAGAAACAAAAAGGAAAAGCATTATCATAACATCATTCTTCATCATATACTAGCTGGGAAAGAAGGTCCTCAACCTGAGTTCTAGACAAAAATGGGCACTTGACATACGGCAGTCAAAGAACAGTTTAGTCTCAGGGAGGACAAGAAAGTACAACTAGAGGAACCGTCCACCTGTAATGGGCATGGGACACTGGTAGGAGGGAGAAGCACAGAGCTAGCAAAGAATAGTGATGGCCCTGGCCTTTTGCCAGGGGGACTCTGGCTGGAGAAAAGAGTGGTGGGAGAGGAGCAGTCTGACCTGCAGAAAACAGTCATGGGGAGAAGAGTGGTGGCAGCTCTGGAAGATGATTAATGGGGGCATATGAATGGAAACCATTTTAACACATGGGCAGTATTCTTTTCATTGTGATTTGTGATGCGAATCAAGGCATTTCAACCCTTGAAGTGCTCTCATTGGTCCTTTTAATACTAATGTAGCAGTAATCATTTTATGTGACATGTGAAAAGACCTTAGGTTTCTTGGGAATAACAGTAATGTAGCTAAGACCAGATCTGGATTCATCCATAATTCAGTAGTTTTTAAAGGAGGAAATCTATCTGATTATTATTAGATTAAAAGTCTGGCTTATCTGGGACAGATACACAATGCTTTCTATTTTTTACATTTTATTTTTAGTTACACAATAAGGGGAAAGGAAGAAAAAGAAAGTCTGTCTAACAAAGCTCCTCCACTTTCCTGTGCCTATGGCTTGTTCTGAAGACAAGCACTTGGCTCACTAGCGAAACGTTTTTACAGATAACATGTGAAACCACAGCTCTGAATCATTTCCAACTGTGTCTTTTTGTTGGCTCCGGCTTACTTTAGCTACTTACGCTGGACTGTCACAGTGTCTTAGGGATGAGGAGACGCCTCCCCCGCAGGTCCTGCTGCACTCTCCCCACAGTGACCAGGGACCCCAGCCCCCATCTATGCTCTGGGGCCAAGTGCCAAAAGGAACACAATCTCCCTGATAACACCACTGCAAGATTTCACAGAAAACACAGAATTAGCTTTTAGGCAGATAGAACTATCAGGATAGAAATACATAAGGGTCAGGTACTGACCAATTAAAGGCATTAGCATTCTCCCAATAGATAACAGACAGATAGTTCTATAACTGTGTTTAGACATTGGTGAAGGTGCATGTGATTTGCGAATTATCTTAGCTAGGTCATGATTTATAAGCCTCTAACTTGTATTGGGAGTTCTAAAAAAAAAAAAAAGTCACATTGCTTCTTTTCCCTTGTTTCTATTCCTCTAGACTTTTAGTGTTTCTCATTATGGAGCTAGCTACAGACCTCAAAGTCTTTTTTAGATATTTTAGTATTTTCTTTAAAATTTTTCTTTATATTCCACTATTATTAGACTCATGGAATGATAACACAATATGGAAAGTTCCCCAGTAAGGAATTTTTATGATGGTAATTGCTTTTTCTTTTAAAAAATAATAATAATAAAAAAGGCTGGTTGAGGCTACAATAGTAAAAGAATGTGTTGTGGTATTTCATCTACACGAGCACTGCAGACATAATAAAAGTAATGCCAAGACATTAGGGACTGGGTACAAAAAAACCCTTATATACACTGACTAGCCATGTGTATGGTCCCCACATGAACATATGTACTGGAATTCTGCTCAGCTCCACACTCCACAATAAACCACACATACTGCACCAAGTAGAAAGCCAGGAATAGTTTATCGACATACAGACATCACATAATCAACTCATAACTCTAGCATGATATATCTTATTTGCAGAATATGACAAAATGAAAGTCTTTTTAAAACCAAGCATTTGTAGACTTTTATTGATGCATTTTTTCAAATTATCAAACTTTGACAAGCCAAAATAATGATACTATGAAAGTCATTTGTTTATATGAATAACAATAAGGAACGTGGTTGTTAGTAAAGCTGAACAAATGTCATCAATGTTAGATTGTTAAATAAAAATTCAACCTCATATAAATTGAAAAGGGATCATGACATGATACTTAGAAAGCGATCAGTTTCTTATAGTAATTCTATCGCCAAGCTTTGTTGGTTTTATCTCCAGAATATCCCTGGAATTCTTTCACTTTTCACCTTCTTCACCGCTATACTCTAGATCAAACTGGCAAATAAATGGAGTAGCTTCTTTTCTGATCACTGTGCTTCTACTTTTTTCTACTAGAATCTATTTTCCAGGGAGCATTTAAAAAATCTTTTAAAAACATTTTATCACATTATGTCACCTTTTTGCTTAAAAATCCTCAGGTTTTCTACTTCCAAAACACTGATCAACAGTAAATTTAGTGATCTAGCCCCTGCCTCTTTCCTCAGCCCCATTCTCTCTCTTACATAGATTACTCTAGACACACTGGATTTCCGCCTTCTTACTAAGCTTGTTCTTCCTCACAGTATCTGCATTTACTGGTCTTTCTAGTAATGCTTTGCTCCCAATTCCTTCTATTGCTGTCTTCTCATCTTTCAGTCTCAGGTCAAATGTCATTTTAACACAGAGATCTTTCCCTGACCATCCTTGTTCTAAAATAATACCTCAATACCCTTTCCTGCTCCCAGACCCCCGTGTAATAGTGATTTTGTCCTTCTGCTTTAGTTCCCTGCTACCACTTAACACTATTTAAAATTGCCCTGTTTATTTACCAAATTACTTCTTTGTCTCTCCTCCTTTGAATGTAAAAGCCTCAAGAGTTACATGTAGCAATTTAAATTAACTAAAAACAGAATTCAATTCCTCAGACCCACTAGCCACATATAGCTAGTGGCTACTATGTTGGACAGAGCAGATGCAGAACATTTCCATAATCACAAAATATTTTACTGGAAACAATGAATGCCTAGAATAGCACTTGGCATGTAGTATGTATGAAACAAAAATTTTTTAGATTAATTAATTGGCATATAGTATGTATGCAACAAAATTTATTAAGATTAATTAATAAGTAGTTAAATTATAGAATTGTGTCCTATTTTGATTATCACATGTCAGAAAGGAACTGGAGATACTGGGGGGTAAAGAAACCAAATTCATATTTGTTTCCTAGTAGCTGGGACCAAATTTGTTGACAATCAGTGAGCTGTGGTAGTTGTAACAGCATAATGAACTTTTTAGAGGAGTGCTGAGTAATTATTAGTCTATAAAAAATTAGGCAAGAATAAGTTAACATTTCCTTGTCTGTAGGCAAGAACATCTGACCATAAGTCTGCTAAATAATAAAACAGGATATTAAGAAAGACTATTGAGTTTTGAGCAATAAAAATTATCGTGAACAAAAAAAGATCATCTGTCCAAAATGATGAAGAAGAGGCAGTTGGTACCAATAACATAGTATCAACCCTGTGTGAACAGGGCTGAAAGGAGAAAATGTTCCACTTGAAAACTTATGACTTACCTAGTTGATCTGGAAGATCAATAATTTTTATAATGATATGTTAATTGTAACAGATCTGCACCTATACAAAAGTTACAACATTCTGGCCAAATAATCTCCAGTTTTGTGGTTTTGTTACTATAAGTAACTGTGTGTAAGAATATTTATGTCTGCACCTAATTTTCCTATGCAAATAACTGAGTAGTATAGTCCTGGCAAGCAATTAACTTATTTTTTTTCCCTGTCTGCAATTAATGAGAACTGACACTTTTAGAAATTCCAAATCTTAAAATATGCCTATTTTTTCAAATTGGAAACTTAGCATTATTGATTTCAAATAACATTAAAGCTTCATTTTACATTTATTTCATATAATCACAGGGTTGAATCTAAAGCTCAAAGAGACTCCAGAATTTATAAGGCCTAAGCACTTCAGTTTTTCAGATGAGGAAACCAGAACCTAAAGGAGTTGACTTGCCCAAGATCAAATACTAGTAGAAGAGGAATTATCTGTCTAAAATACACACAAAAAAATCAGTGGTTAAAAAAAATCCATTGGAAGTGTATGATTATGTATGTGAAGACATTAAAGAATACTCTAATATGGTTTACTGGATTTTTATAACTACATAAAATACAAGATAATACTAGAGATTTTTTCTTAGCACAGCTATAGATATACATGTTATTTCAGGCCCCTTTGCATATACCTATGATTTGCAGAGAAAAAATATTCAAGCTTTTTCATTTGTCAGGTAACAAAAGAATTGTGAGAGCTGCAATAATACTACAAGATATAGGTTCCAAAGTATTTCTTAGTATTATTACAGATGTTTCTAGAACACTCACAAAATGTAGGGCAGTGAGAAAATCACATGAACTAAAGTCATTCTTTAGGTAAAATATACATACAGTACTTTGTAAAATGCTGCTCAGTTTTCATCAGTAAAGTCTACATAGCAGTAATATTTCATAAATGGTTTGCTAAAAGCCCTTATATTGCATAAATTCATGCTTTGCTTATATCTATTCCATGGAGCTATATCATAATAGGTAATTTTATCAGAAAGTTTAGTAACAAATATTAAAAGGTAAATAATTCATAATATAAGTATCAGTCACCTAGCAGTTGACAAGAGATTAGTCTCTAGGTTAATACTAGTTAACAACTTAGTTAACTAGCTAACAAGTTAACAACTTTGGTCTGTGTAGGAAAATTTATGTTACAAACTTCAGTTCTAATTCTAGCAATAACTTTGGTCCAAAGCAAGTCACTTTTATTTCTTCTCTTTTGTTTCCTTTACTATAAAATGGAAACTAATTTTAGTTCTTGATTCCAATATGGTTTAGATTAGAAAAACTTTTAAAATGAGCTCAATGCATACATACCTTCAAAAAAGTTAAAAACCTACTGAACAACTTGTTTTGATTTTGATCTCTGACAGAAGCGTACTTTGGTGTTTTATTTTCTTCCTTTGTATTTATAAAAAGGGAATCTTTATAATTATGCTTACTTTTCTCCTTTGGTAGTAGTAAACCAATGTGGTATATGATTTTAAGAGAAGAAACTTATTTAACTTAATAAAAGGGCTTTAAGAAGCCCATGGGGACTTCAAGTGATTTGAGCGACTTCTCTGATTGCATTCATCAATATACATTGAGTTTAATGTGTGTAAATTATGAATAGAATAATTAGATCACACCAAATAAAGCAACTTGGAATATATAAATCCTATAAATGCATAGTGATGAGATTCTGTTGTATCATCTTTTTTTATTATTTTCTTTCCCTGAAGTTACCAAACCTGTAAAAGATCTATTTACAGAGACAAAGAATTTTACTTTATATTTTAAACTAGAAAAGTTAAAGATGTAGATGCAAACCAGTTTCTAATCTTTATTTTCAAAGATTATCCAATCTAGCGATTTTGGACTATTCTAAATAACACTGTTACTTTAGCGTAAATTATCCAGATAAATTGGATAAATTTGGCCTTCCTCTTGCTAATTGGGATATGTTTAACCACATTCATAAAGGTAAAAGAAGTTAAGCCATCACATTTTTTTTTCCAAGAATAAAATCTCATATTGCCGATTATTTCTTTTCATATTCCTTCTATATTAAATAAATATGTTTTCAACACAATCTAGAAAGATGGCATATTCCAGTCAGGCTTTAAGAGCCTTCTTTAGAAACACTATTTATTATCAAACAACATCTCTTGCTATTATACTACTAAATATTATGATCTACATCAGGGGACTTTCTTTAAGCAAGATACATTATAAATCAAACAACATAACTTTGAAAATTGGTCACATTTCCACAAAGGAAAACTTCAAGATGAGTATATGCAGTATTTTAAAATACATTTATTTTTTTAACTAGAGCCATTTTCAGATGTGATTATGGTAATCTTCCAATAGCCAGTACTGGGTCCAGCCAGCATCTGGAATAAGAGACATCTAAGGAAATCCTAAGATTTTGCAGGAAGTAATATTAATGATTCAATACAGAACATTCTTCCCACGTCAAAAGAGCTGAGTGTTGGAGCACAGCACTATTAAAAGCCTTATCTTTCCACTGTGCAGGTGCAGGAAAGC